ATGGCAAACTTTCCAACTGAAGTTTGTTGATCTTATTATATATTTATATTAATCGGTAAATTATATATTATTTGTGTAATAAAAAATTGAATTATCAGAACCCACAGTAATTTTGTATAGGTTCTCTATATATTTTTCAAAGATAAATTGCTTGTTGAATGCATTTAAAAAAATATGTATAGATCATATACAGAATTACAGTTCGTTCTGATAATTCTATTTTGTAACATCAAAGTTTTAACTGCAAAATTTCTTTGAAATTCAATTGCAATCTTAATAATATAAGTGGCATAAAAATATAGGCATACTATAGACTCTATAATAGAGCAAAAATTCTGAGATTAAATTAATCTAATTCAAAAAGCATATTTTATTAAATATATTTTACAAGATTTTTTTACTGCAAAATTTTTTAAAATAATTTGTTAAATAATAATATATATATTAAGCTATTAGAAAATATAGACGTACTTAATGAACAAATATTTATAAAATTAATGATTTATTCTAATAGCAAGTTTTATAATATATAAGATTGTTTTTTAATCTGCAGTTATGTTTATTAAGTAATAATTTTATTTTCCATAAAAGTTCATGTGCTCGGGTCATAAATTTCTTTTTACTGGATTCCCACTTTCACTAAATTTAATTTAGAATCATATTACATTTCATATGTAATTTTTTTACTTACGTAATTCAATTTCAATTACTTCGATTTCTTCTGCCAATCCAAGAGCCAAAACCGCAGTGAAAAAAATTGCTAGACGATTCATTTTGTATCTGAAAAAAATAAAAGATAATATAATTTATTAATAGAACCAAAATATAATAGTTATGTATATAAAAGCAAACTTATATTGTGGCCATTTAAAATTATTTGTTTGTAATTTCTTAATTTTTTAAATTCAATCCGATAGAAAAAATTAGCGTAAGTATGATGTCGGGCTTTGTCCTATATAGATTATATATTATGAAAATATTAGAAATTGAAAGTTGATTATAAATATTACTACACTTTAAGTTCCAAATTACTAAAATTATCTAAATTGCGTCAATGCACAATTATTTTAAGACTATACCTGGATCACGCATGAAGACTTTGTTGGGAAACTTTTACATTATTTTCCGGCAAAACAATATAATTATTGTCATTATTTCTATTGCATAAGTATCCAAGTGTTTGTAAAAAAAATGGTTCGGGAATAAAAATAGATAATTCATATTTTATTTGTTTTTGTTCTCGATATTTGCAACCTGCATATTCAGAAAACTTTCTAAATACTAGGCGAACAGGATGGCGGTTTTAGATTATGCAATCTTAAAATTGTCGACGAAGGTTAAAATATAAAAATGATAAAATAAAATGCTCATTTGTTAAAAAATATAGTAATTCAATTTATCATAACACTAATTATTTAAAAAAATCTTTTTTGAATGTAAATTTAAATATAGAGATCCAGAGTCCGCAAAAATTTTCTTGTACAAAGTTTGTTGTAAAATATGAAGCTGTTTCATGTATTTTTTGATTAGTGATTTTTTTAAATAAATAAATAGATAAAACTAGTTTTATAATATTCGTCGCGAGAATTAAAACGATAATAAATTTAAAAATTCAAAAACGTCTTTAATCGAAGTCTTTTATAAATGACGGCTTGTCGATATATATAAATTATCATAAAATATAACTCATTTCTAAAAGCTATTGGAAAAACTTGTTTTAATGATCTTCATGAAAAACTAGTTAATTATTTTAGCTGTTAGGCCTTGGTTTATTTAAATACGAACATATTAATATGATCTATGCAAGATCTCTGAATTATATATAAATATATAATATAGAAGTTTTATATGATGTTTTTAAATTATTGTTAATTCATAAATTTTTATGCGAACAAATATTGCAATCAACAATATCTGGAATATAATAATGCATTTTGTGTCTTTGATTTCTCAGAGAGCCACAATAACTGTTTTAATCATTTTATTCATTCAAATATTGGAAATCATTGTTTCATCTGTATATCATGTACAAAATTTAGGTCTCTAATGAGTCCGCAAAAATGATATTTTTTTATTATTGGAAGATGTGCTCTCTGCGATGTCCTTACAAATTCTACGTCATCTTTCTTCAAATACAAGATGACATTGACAAACCGAGAAATATATTTAAATTCAATATCCGCAGTTAATGAAATAATATATTAATCCATTACTGAAAGAACTGAATTATGTAATAATTCTTAATCGAATCGATTTGTACATGTGCAATTAGCTGCACCTGCAATCGATTGCGGAAATGCATTTTCTAATTTATCCATATTTCTAAATTCTACTGCGATTGGAATATCTAATGATAAAATATCCTTGAAGCCATTTCTGTTAACTCACAAACCATATATAAATTCGAACTACATATAAACTTTTAGTTTAAAAGATAGGTATACAGGTAAACTGGTAGATGGTAGACAGGACAACTGGTAGATAGACGAATATATAGACAGATGAACAGGTAGACAGGTAAATTGGTAAGCAGGTAAAATGGTGGTTATAATGGACAATTGTTGATCAGGAAAATTGGTGGACTACAATAAATTGGTAGTCTGATGTCTACCAATGGTAGTCTTAAGTCACTTATATTGCTATCAACTATAATTAGCCATCCTATTTTTTATAATTTAGTCACATTGAATCTTGTTCTAGTTTCAAATTGTAGAGCCATTGAGGGACTGTTCCCTATTTCCAAAATTATTATGAAATCTTAACATATATAAATATGTATATAATTTTTATAAAACATAAAAAAATTCAGAAGCTAAACAAAACAAAATTAGAATTTTTAACTTCCAAACAAAAATTAGAATTTTTAACTTTCTTCGTGAAAACGATTGAAATTTTTAATTTCTTATAAAATAATGTGATAAGGACTTAAAATTATAATATATATATAATATATATATATATATATATATATATATATATATATATATATATATATATGACTTAACTTATAACGTTAACTTATATATAGGCTGAATGTTTGAAAGTTGATTCCTGCTTCTCCAAAATTAGATATATGTAACTCATATACAATTTCAAAACAAATAAAAAATAAATTACACTAAATTATATGCTTTAAATTTGACTTCAATAAAATTATTGACTAATACAATTATTACTCTTATAGAAATATGAAGATTAAAATTAATTTAAAAGTTATAAAAAAGCTTTAATTTAAATTTGAAAGCTCAAAAATATTTTTTTTAAGTTTGATAAAAATAAATTGTTTGGATAAAAAATATTGTAACTTGGTACAGGTGGACATAAATATATGTTAAAAATATTTGAAACGAAAAATTTATCTGAATCTAATATATTATTTATCTAAATATGAATTGCTTTGGAGAGTACGTGAGACAATACTAGGCAAAGAAAAGTTTGTTGAAAGCATTGAAAACCAGAATACGGAAATAAAACTAATATTAATGAAAAATCAATATGATAGCATTTCAATAAAAAGTATGTTAAATGTTGTTATAATTAAATTACAAAATCATAAGTAGCTATAAAAGCTTTAAAGAGGAAAAATAGATTACATTAAATTTTACCTTTAAGTTCTACGCCAGGTGTGTCCTAAACCCAAGATCTTGTTTATTATTTACACTTTGAATTATCAGATCTTAATAATGTTTACCTGCGTGAGTGTGTCAGACTTTATATAAACACTAACCGGTGGAAGAAGTAGAAGGGGCCCTCGTTTATGCGAAAATTGCTCAACCACAACCTGTTCTGATTCGATATATCACTCTCGGGAGACGGCCCTGGCGGCCAAAAGCAGGGTTATGGACACATGTAATAGAATCTTGTTTGTTGTAATATTTTCTGTACTATTTATTATTACAAATACTCAACTATTCATATCAAATTATTTTTGCATTTACCATTAAAATATTTCTACACAATAGAGACGGATATATAATAGAGACGAAGTACATATTTTTACATTTATTGATGCTAAAAATGTATAATTTTATATACATATCTCTTTCTATTATATGGTGGCCCGATCTTTCAAGCAATTGTTTACCTTTGCACAAATTAATTAACACTAGGCTAAAGTTTTAATTTCAATGGTACGCATCAGTGTATAATTAAACTTGTTTGCTAAAAATTTAATGAAATATCAGAATTATTTTTTTTGATATGAAGATTATTCAAATTTTATGCAGAGTTGATCATAAAATTAAAAGTGGTGTATAAGGAACTTATTAAATTAAAGAGGATGTCACACACATGCACACACACAATTTTATATATGTGTGTATACATAAATAACTTTAATTTTTTCCCTAAATAATCAGTAAGTAGTTTATGAAGCAAATTATTATTAGAGTTATTCGGTATATTTATAAACTTCTAATTAGCATTAATAATTACACACTCTATTTATGCAAAGTTTAAATTCAACGTTTTTATTGTCACTTCTATCAAAGACGTAGGTTGATGTTGAAATCATAAATATTCAATTTATGATAACAGTCTCTAGAGCGGAACATAAATAAATAACAAAAAATCAATTAATTTTTATCATAAAATATTTGTGTACATAACTAATTATTAGTCGCTACTGTGTGTAAAGACTAATGAAACTAGTTGGGGTAAAGTCCCTAAGCTGTGCATTTGACCTGCGCCATTGGGTTATTCCAGGTTGCGCTGCGGAATGGGTTAAATTCCTGGGAAACCCATAAAGGGCTTACAAAAAATGCGGAGAATCATACGTTAAAAGAAATGAAAAATAATTTACTATTTATTAAAATGCTCGTAATTATTTTTTTTTATCCGTAATTAATGCAAATTAAATATTTTTTTATTTTTGCCTTTTATCACATATTCATCATAAACTAAATAAAATAGAAAATACATTTCCATTTTCTAAGTTTTTAATTAATCATATTATACATAAATTTTAAATATAGCTAATCTTATATATTACAATAATAAATTCATATAATTAAATTTGTAAATTTTGAAGACATTTATAAAACCAAAGTATTTATTTCAATTTAATACTTGAACATTAATTTTAAAATTGATTAAATTATAAAGTAAATTAAGATAAGATAATAAGTATAGAGTTTCGTGATTAAATATAATAGTTTTTATATTTTTATATAATAATTTTATCGAGATAAAAATTGATAAAGGTTTTTTCTTTGGATCTTAAATACTATGAATACCTAATACAAGTTATGTATTATATATTTACCATTGAGGTAAATTTTAAGCAGTTTTGTCATTTATAATATGTTGAAGTTGATTTAACAAAAAATTAATCGTCCTTATGTAAAACAATATATAAAATATTTCTCTAGAACCAACCTCAATGATTTTTACAGGTATATAACAAAATAAATATAAATACAAAATTTATATTAAGTTGTTAACATCAACATATACTTATATTAATATCTGTAAAAATTTATATATTCATAATATATTAACCACTATTCTAACATATTATATCCTGTTCTAATAACTATCATTACAATCACATATTTGTTTCTAAGCATTCAGTTTGCACTATCAGTTTTTATTTAAGATTCTGGGAACAGACGTCGGAATGGTATTTTTTCAAAAACATAGTTCATTCCTGTTTTGATTGGGGGTCCCCAGAGGGTGCTCAATATTGGGAGCGCCTCTTTGTATAAAGAGCGCCAGTTTTGATTCATGGTCACTAGGAAAGCGTCATCTGGGAAAGAAATATAATTGTAGTAAAATAATTAAACTTAATAGTTGAATTTAGAACGATTGATAGTTTGTTTGGAAATGCAGGGATTTTATTAATGATAACTAATTTAAATGATTCTACTGCATATATAAAAATGTTTGGTTTCTGCATCTAACGATTTTAAAGCGTTTACGATTAATAAAAATCAGTGTTTTTTTTCTAAATATAATTTAATAACTTATAATATTTTTATTATTAAATTTTTTAATATTTGATATTTTGTTTAGAGAAAAACCAATTACAAAATTCACAAGTGCTTGACATGCTTGAAGCAAATCAGATGTAGTTTTTGATTGTTCTGCCAACGTTTTGCCTATATTACATTACTTTAAAGTTGAAACAATACACTAATCAATTACACCATATTAATTATTTAGTGATTTCAAGTTTCTCTTAAACATTTTTTTTATTCAAGTTAAAAACAGTAAAAACAATGAAAGAACGTCATGATATGATGTTTGCTTGGTAAATTCGGGTTCCGCATTAGATACCGGCATTTATGTTAGAACTAACAATCGGTTTTCATTTTCACTTTCGCATATGTATTATTATACAATCATAACATTTATCTAATTACTGTTATTTATATGTACAGCGAAGAACAATTTTTTAATATTTTTTTTGTTGAACTGCAATCAGAACCAGAAACTATATTTAGGGACAAAGCTAGTTCTAGGATTTGAACCTTGGGTTGCCTTAATTCTAGTTGTTAAATATTGAAACTAATGCTGGTATTTTTAATTTATTAATAATTTTTACTTTAGTATGTAGGTTCTTCAAGTTTTATCCTGAAGAAATAGATTAAAATTTTGAAATGCTCTATAGTTACTGGGTGGACTTATCAGTAAGTTCGACTCCCTATTGCATTTATCCCAAAAAATTGAATAAATCAAAACAATCAGTTCGAACAGTAAGTTCGACATCCCTATTGCATTTATCCCAAAAAATGAATAAATCAAAACAAATTTAATAAATCTCTTACATGAACTTCAAATTAATAGGAAAATTCTAAAATTAATATAAATAAATAATTAACTCGAATTTTTTTGACTCCAGTATGTAGATTCACACCATTTCACACTATTGACTTTCTTTAGAATAAATGAAAATTTTGAAAGTATTATCAGAAATAAGCAAGTTCTCTAGTTATACTTACTGACTGCTTTATCAGGGAAAATATTTGTGGCATAAATATTAACATTTGAAGGAACTGGCGACATATCGGCTTCCTTAATAACCATATACTTTTCACCATCACGTTCTTCAAGTTCACCTTTCACAGCCCAAGTTGTACTTACACCCTCTAAAAAAATAAAATAAATTGAAAATATTTGTATAAAGAACAACTAGGTCTGGAAATAAACTTAAACTATTTCCACTACTTTTCTTATTATCACATTACTGTCAAGATCTTGTCAGAATTGTTTTCCAGTCAAAATTGAAAACATTATTATAAAAATAGAGTTATAAATAACTGACAAGTCTCGTGTCACTATAATCGACCTTTAAGACTAATCACGTAATAAAGGCAACATAAATAATTTAATTTATTATAATGATATTGTTATAACGTGGCGAGTTTAATAGTAATTGTATATAATTAGATGTATCATGGGAAGCAAATTGGATAATAAACTTAATAGAGATGGTAAGAAAAATTTATGGGTATTTGGTATTTGATCCATAAGATGATGATTTTATATGTTTTGCCACTATATAGAATTTATTTTTATTTTACCCATGCTGATGTTGAAGAATCCTTTCGTGTGTATTTGGAACAGGTTGACGCCTCCATCAAATTTATAATTTCCTTCAAAAATCAAATTGTCGAACATCAGGTCGATTTCCATTTCTAAACTGTCATCGGTCACAGTTGCTCTAGATAAAATAAAAAAATATCAATAAAGTATTTCATAAAAATATTTTTGGATGTAATAGTTTTAGTAAAAGATAGTATAACAAACGACTTGATAAATTTTAACCAACTAAAAAAAAATTTCATGCAAATTTACACTATTTTTAATTTATATTTTTAACTTTGCAGTTCTGTATTTATATTGTACATATCAACAAAAAAATATATAAAAGTGAATCTGTTTCTAATTGATCTAGAGAAGATTTTGATACTTAAGCAAGAAATCTCTATCCTTTTACCAAATTCTCCAATTTCCACCTTCCCCTTATTACCTGACTTCTTTGATTTCGCAATTGCTGCTCCCGAAGACTTTGTTGTCTTTTCCCTGTACATTGCCCTTGATGTTGCCGATGTTGTGGTTGACGTGGAATTTGGGGGTCGATAGAGGGTCTATTGGGGGTATCTCCAGGGGTTTGTAACCGTCTTTGATAGCAGGCAAGATACTTTTCATTGATTCCTTTATGCATTCGTTCAAATTGGGGTCGTTTCTCTTGCAAATCTTGAAGAAATCAGCTATAAAAGATAATTAAATTATTAATATATTTGCTGGGTAATTATAAATTTTTTTTTAAAGTAAGAAATATTGGGTAAATATAAAACTTTAGTATATATTTATGATATTAATATCATCTATAAACATTGCAGTGCCAAAATTTATGCAATTATATTAAAGATATTTAAAAAATAGAAAAGACAAATAAAAATATTATATAAATAATTTACAAATATATATTTTGTGTTTACAATAAATTTCCATAATGTATTCCATGTATAAGTAAATACAAGACTCTCTATTTCAGTGAAAACAAATCTTGATTTAGTTAGTCACAAAATCCAGACAGCAAATATCAACATAGACTATATTTGCATATCATAATATCATTATAAATAAATAGTCATTAAGACTAAAATTTAATGGAATGAAAAAAGTGATGAATTTTATTTACCCAAATTTCGTATGAATGTACATTGTAATTAACAATATTTTGATATAAACATTTTAAAAATTTAAAAAAATAATAAAATGGATGGAATTAATATTATTGTTACATGTTTAATTTTGCATTTGGAGTTCTTTCTTCACTAACACGACTTAGAATTGTTATTTTCTTTTGCATTGCAACAAAAAAAAAATTACATGAACCTACATGTTTTACAGCAGCAAATTTTTATATTGCACTAGAACTTACATGTTTTTTTTTAGCGCATACATTATTTTTATTTATCATCGTCAAAATGTTTCTTTCATCGCCAGGAAATAATGATCAAGGCAATGTCAAGGATAAAATTCCGGTCGCGTTTTTATATAACACGTTTATAATTAATAGTACTATTTATAACATTAAAGTGACTAAGAAGAATTGTACATGCATCAAGTTATTGCTGGAATATAAATAGCGAATAAATAAATTTTATTGCTGACGTTCTATTCTGTTTTTGAACTTATAACGATTTCCATTCGTGTCATGGATTGATAATATAATAGACAAGGCTTTATATGATTGTGTCTCAGAAGGTTTTATGAACTTATTGACTTTAGGATCAATTTAAAAGTGAAAGTTTAGAAAAAAAATAATAGGATCAACAATTTGTATATTAAAATTTGTAAAAGGAATTGATTTGGTATCATATATTTTAGTTACACTATTTTCTTATATTCCTACATTGACTAGATAAGTGACTCGTCAATTGACTATATAGATGTTAATAAATTCAATTTTGTACGTAATTATTTGTAAATTGTAAATTTGAACTCATAATAATTATTTTATCAAAATTTCAATTAAATCAAATCCAATTAAATTAGTAATTATTTGTTTCTCCAAAAACCCACTTTTTAATAATTAATTAAATAAATATAGCAAATATTTTCACAAAGCATATCTCTTTGTTTTCCTGATATAATATAAAAATATAAAAAAAAAAATTTTAAATTTTTTCAAAAATGTATATTATCCACTTGTGTATGTTTTTATTAAAAAAACACCATTATCGTCGTAGAATTTTTATCGCAAAAACAGTTTTGCATAAACTGTTATCATGCATATCATAAAATTAATATTTTGTAGGAATGTTTTTAGCATACTATCTTAATTATCTAAAAAAACCATACGATAATTTTTGTGAAGGCTACAGTTTTAAACATTGCACTATAAATATTTAAAATTATTAAATTTAAATTTTGTTTTTAAATTGTTTATTTGTCAGACAACCAGCAAGATAACTTTTATGATTAGTTCAAGTATTATTTAATTTTACTATATTTTTTTTAATTTAAAGATTTGATTGGTTTCAAATATATAAGAACATTTTTTGTAAAATCTTATTCCAGAGTAAGAAGTCTCAATCCTAGCCTAGCATCGAAATTACTTTATTTTTGCCCATGTTTTCGGAATATTTCAACAAATGATTTATGTTAATGTTTACTGCATTTTTCTTATAAATTAAATTCAAACAAATCATAAATTGTTCAAGTAAATAATTATTGTTAAAAACTTCCATTATCTAACTGTTGTTTATAAGTAAAATTCCCGCCATGAATATATTCATCTAAAAATACCTGCCAAGTAGGAATATTGTTTATAAATTGTTATTGCATACGTACATAAGTACTTGTATAATTTATAATTTATAATATATAACAATTCATGCGTAATGTTTAATGATCGTTTTTGCTATCGATTATTTATTTATTGATCGATGGAATGTTTCAGAACAAAAACAGGATAAAAAAATTAAATTAGACTTACGATTGATGAACTAGTTGCTTACAATTGCGAAACCTTTTTTTATTCTTTGACGTAGAATTTTGTTATAATGTATTATTATTATAATTGTATTAGTAATAATTAGTTACGACGTCACATACTGTATTTATTACAACTTTTAGGGTAAATAACAAAATATTTAGAAAAAATCTAAATCCTTATACCTGAATTATCAAATAAATTTTTAAAAATGAAAATCTAAGAAATAATAAGAGTAATATATATAACATTGTGTATATAATAAATAATGTAGATGATTAAAATGCTTTAAAAGGTAAAACCGAGGTAATATAAATTGTTCAGGAGTTGTTAAATTATAGAAATTTTTTAACAAAATACCTTTAAAAGTAGTAATTAATAAATGTATTACTTTTTTGGTGTCAATAATATATTTCTTCTTAAATTACTAAACGATTGGAGCAATTTTTATAAAATTTTGTATGAGATTTTTTTAATTCTATTATGGTTCAAATTCACGATACAATTTGATAAATAACTTATTTTTGAATAATAGTTTCTCCAATATTAAAGATAATTAGGATCTATTTTGAGTTAGTTACAAAATATGATAAAAAGCCAAAACCGTTTATGATTTATTAACAAAATGTGTATTTGTAGTTGATTTCTGGCTCTATTTTATATATAAATTATACAGCCATAGGTACAATATTTAAAATTTATATTTTCAATTTAATAGTTACATGTTTTTCTTAAAAAATCTTTATTTGTTCATCATTGATTAAAAATTGTGTATTCGTTATTAGTTTCTGCAATAAATAATGGACCCAAGTTTATATATAAATCATAATATTTTTATAAACAAATAGTGTAAAACTAAAAATTGGCCATGAAATAATTCATGGAATATTAGGAATGGATGTAGGAAAAAAATTCGTTCAATTGAAACTCGTAGAAAGGCTCAAATTTTTATGATCCAAATTATTCATATAAAATGAATTAACAAATTGATAACACAGTTCGAATGAATTTTAATATTATTAATAGTTAAAGTTTTAAATTTTAGGTAATTTCCTCATTATTAAAAAACTAAATTTTTGTTAATATCAATTGTTAATTTTATTTATATTTTTAACAAACCGTTTATAATGAATTAAAAATATATATTGTAGTTATTATTTGCAATGCTTGATGAATGCACCATTTCTTATATAAATTATAAAACGCTGTGTGCCAAATATGAAATTATAAAGTTCAAATTAATAAAACTCTATAGGCTGCCTTAAAAAATAATTTATATTGTATTTATGATTGGTTAGAAAATAGTTAGGCATTAAAAAATGGGCAATATGCACTAGCTTATACATCAAATAAATTTATAAGATTAGAGCTTAAAAACTATAAGTACATGAACGTGTCTATATTATTCACGTAGGGGTGCTTTGGGGTTGATGATTAATTGATATTAAATTTTTGTTAAACGTAAAACTATTTTGGTTGGTTTTGAAAATATGTTTCTCTACGTGTGACAAATTATAGCATGTTATGTGCTTAATAAAAGTTAATAAGTTATAAGTTAAAAAAAATACATATCTGTGTCTATTATCTCTACTCACGTAAGGGTGCTTCGGGGTCGACGAGAGCTTTCGCTCGGCAGAGGGCGGTCGCCGCCAAAAGCACAACCATCGCCGTCATTTGTCCCATTGTAAATAAATAATTATTATGAATAGTTTCACGGCAAATCGTAATCTCAATTAGCAATACGATCTGCTTCCTGGTCGCTTTTGCACTGACTCGATCCTTATCGGTTCGACTGGCTTTATAGACTCCCAATCAGCACCATGGGCAGGTTACCCTTGAAAATCTCGACGAGGCAAGGTCACCGCCTCATCTTGGGTATGGATTTATTGTGTGCGTATTAATTTAATTTCAAACTGTACTAGTAAGAGTTTATGTAATTGATCGCAGTATGAACCACAGTTTCCCAAAAGGATAGAAATCACATTTTTGGTTATCAAAATCTTAGACCAAATCATTTCTTGGTGATTCTTTGGTGATCCATCCATCAACGTCGTTTTTCCTTGATAGTAATTACATTTTATACTTACATGAAATATTGGCACAGCATCACCAGAAATCATATTTTGCAATAAAAACAATGATTGGTGAAAATTTAATATATACATTTTTAAAGGAGTTAATTTTTTAAATTATTTTTATTTAATTATAGTAGGTAATAGCTTCAAGCAAACGAAAAACAACAACCAAAACATAAATTTTACATTAATGTTTGTTAATTAATTTTTATTTAAATTATATATTTAATTAAAATTTTCATTTATTTGAATGTTTTAATGTAACTAGCTAAAATATCACTTATGAGTCATTTGAAATTGTTGCTATTAATATAATGAAACATATTAAAGCAAACGTCAGCAAAATTAATTTGAAATTTAAATGTGATTAATTTTAGATCAACTTGCAGTACTATGACTAATAGATAACAACTTAAAACCAAACAAAAAATTAATCAGAAATCTTAGCTCAAAGGAAATGAAAACAGATTATAATATTTTACAAACAAAAATATATTTTCACATGACTTACTAACAATGATTTTAATTTTTATGTTATACAATAATTATTTAAATTTGTTATAACATTTTTTTTAATTTACCATTAATCTTTTCTCATGTTGTCTCAAGAATGAGCCTATTTAAAAGCACTTTTAGAAGTATATATCTAGTTTATATACCTAATCACACTAAAATGATTTATTCAAAAAGCTAGATTCTAGTTACAATGAAGTCTGCTAAAATAACATTTTTATCTTTTTAAAAATTTGCTACCACAGGAAAATAATAATTTATTAAAACCAAATGATTTTGTTTATAATGATAAATCTAGACATCTGCTAAGATAACAAAAAGAAACTCTACTTTTTTCTCAATATGCAAATTATAGTTTTTTGCCAAATTCGCACTTCACTTGATTATTAGTATTGGAGATTATTTTTAAAAAACAGGAACAAATATCAAAACGTATGCTATTTTTAAATCTTACTGTAAAAAATGTAGAATCTGCATATTGAGTGCTCAATACTGAACATAAAAATGTTATAACTATTATTCTTCTACTACAAATCACAAATTAGTATTAATTTTTGAACTTTTGCTAATAATTTACCATAAATTATGTACTCAATAAAGTTATAAGTGCGAATAAAAATAAAAATGAGAGTCCTTTATCAGGGTAAATGAACTGACTAAAAAAATGGCAATAGTGTAATTTCCAAGCAATAAATCTTAATACGTAATGTAATACCAATATCTTTGTTTGTGAGCGATTTATTAGTGCTAAAAAAAAATTATATAATGACGTAGGTTCAAATACTTTGTACTCTTCAAATAATTGACTTTTTTTTGAATGGAAAATTTTACTATAGGTGCTCTGATGATCATCAATCTTTTCTATAAAAGCACGTGGTCATCTTCAAAACAATTGTACATTTTGTTTACACGTTTTTTATTTCGTGGATTTAATTCGCGAACATTATATGAACAATGTAGTACGTCATTAAATGTAAAAAAGGTTCATTTATTTCTTTGGAGCATTTAATTGATGGGTGATAGACTAAAACTATGATCTGTTTTTTTATCGGTTTGGGTAATTCTGTGTTAGGAACGACATATATCAAACATTGGATTTTTATTAATGCACATCAAATAAAAAAAATACGTTTTCCATTTCTTATTAAATCTGTGACGTGATTGCATATCTAATGCATAAATTGCCCAAGTGAATTATTGTAATCAAAATAACAATTATCGTACGATTTCGTGAAGAATACTATAAAAACAACTGTTATATTAAAATTTTGATTATGATATTAATTAAGTTAATTATTTCTTTACGTAATATCACGATTTGAATCTGATGTTATGAAATAATAATTTACTTGTGTAAATTAGTATAATACATTGTAAATGTTTATTACTGAAAATTACCTTAATTTTAGGTTATTTGCTGACAATGAAATTAAACTGATCAAGTGCAAATTATATAATGATGGATGGAAAAACTGATAATATAAAGATAGAACGCTAAGGAATATTATTTTAAGGTTATTATATCATTATCAATATTTTGAAATAATTTTTGTTTCAGTCTATAAGCAATGTCGAATATAAGCACAGATGATGAAGATGATGGAACTATCTTTCGTGAAACTCCAACATTGGAAGAAATAGAAAAATTTAGGCCTAAAGCAAGGAACGATATGCTGATAAGTGGTTGGGATGATCAGGATGAAAATATAGAAGTTGAAAGAAATCCACATGGTACTTTAGGGCTAATAGATTTCATGAAAGTTTCCCAAAAGTATTTACTTAATATTATGTATTTTTGTTATCAGAAACACCAGAAAAAGAAATACTATGGGCAGCTGAGAGTGGTGAACTTGAAGTAGTTGAAGATCTTTTAAAGAAGCATCCTCATTTAATCAATACTCGTGATAAGGATAATTATACACCACTTCATAGGCAAGATTATTTCATTATATCTTTTATTTTGAATTTTATGCAAACTTTCTCTTGTTTTTGTTGACCATCTACGATACAAAAATTAAGAACTAATAATATTCTACTATAGAGCAGCGTACAGTCATAATTTTGATGTGGCTCATGCATTACTACAAGCTGGAGCTGATCCTAATGCAGAAACAAAAATGAAATGGACCCCTTTACACTCTGCTTGTAAATGGAATAATGCTTCAGTTGCTGGTTTATTATTGCAATATGGTGCCAATGTAAATGCACAAAGCAATGGAGGTAAAATATTGTTTATATTATATAAATTTGTAAATAAGAAACAAACTTGTTAAGTTGATGAAATTTTATTTTTAGGTCAGACACCACTCCATGTTGCCTCTAGTTCCTCAGATTGTAGAGAAGTGCTAACAATATTACTTCTAACTGAAGGAATCAAGCCAAATATCTTGAATTCATCAAATGAGACTGCATTTGATATTGCAAAACGCTCCGGCAAATATTATTACCTTTTTGATATAGCTCATGATGCTCTTAATGATGAAGATTTATATTAATGTCTGTGATTCCTCTACCTGCCAATTGTTAATAACATATGATAAAATAATATAAGATTAACAAAATACAAATTAACTATTTGTATTTAACCTACTTCTACAATTGTTGTGTCGAGAATTCCCCAAAGGGTAACTTCACCTCTACAAGCACTTAGGATTTCATTCTTTTTAGGATGTGAAACCAAAGTAGGAATGACAGATTTAATTGAACTTTCTTCTCGATGGAGTTTCTTGATCTCCTTACTGCTCAAGAGATCCCATATTATGATGGACCCCTCTGTTGTACCACTAATTATAAAGTTATCTGAATACATAATTGCACACTCTACAGCAAAATCCTGTGTGTTGTGACCAACATACCTATGTAGATAAAAAATATATGTGATAATTTTTAATCAGTCTTTTTTTCATAATTTATTTATATAGTTACTCTGATAGTAATTCCCCACTACTTTTATCCATAAGTCTTAAAGTGCTATCAGCACATGCAGCAAGGTAGCATTGATCGTCTCTTGTGATTTCAATATGTGTTATAGATTCTGAAAAGAAAAGGCTTGAGTATAAATAACACCATTGCAAAAACAAGACCACGTACTTCCTATGCAATCTGTTATTAATTCACCGGCTCTGAGATCATATTTTCTAATTCTACCATCTAAGGATGCACTAATTATCTCATGATCAGAAACCACCAAGCTGGATATTGAATCCTTGGCTTCTTTTAAAACCTGTATTATTGAATTATCAGCAAAATTTAGTACTCTCTGTTATAACTCTAACAAGTAATACAAACCTGAACTGGTTGTTGACGTCGAGACTTTAAATCCCAACACATAACAGTATTATCATGAGAACCTGATATGGCTAATGTAGATTCTTCGTTGAACCTTAAAGAGCAACAATTTAATGTTATGATTTCAATTTATGGGAATGAATGTACATATTTGTTCATACTTTACACAAGATACACTACTTGCATGTCCTCTTAGCCTTCGTGTTGGAAGGCCAGATGCAACATCCCATAAAATAACTGATTTATCAGAGCTTCCGGATAGGATCTGTGAACTATCACATGATCCAGCAGCGTCAAGAACTTCATTAGCGTGACCTCCATAGGTTTTAAGTAATAATGATTTATGAGCATTCCAAAGTTTTAATTTTTTATCAGCTCCACATGTTATGCAATATGTACCATCAACTAGAAGAAAACATATTTTTACTTGAGAGTTTTTGATGGAGAATTCGAAATAATGATGTTACTGTTGTATCGAACTGCACGAATAGCACCCTGTTTACAATCTATAGTATTTATAGGAACTAAAGAATCAATATCCATTTTAATAAAAAATAATAGATGATTTTATTAATGTTTAGTATATAAATGTTTCATATTCTAGTAACAGCAGTGCAAAGTGTACAAGTGAATAATTTTGTATTTAAATTAGATTATAATCCCTTTTGCCAATTTGCTAAAATACATTTTTTACTATGAAACTTAACATATAATTTTTATATATCTTTAAATGTATAGTTGTAGAAATAATTTGACATTATAAAATTCAAATATTTGTTAACCTCACTAAATTTGTTAGGTTGTCAGTGTGCAGAAGACAGTGATACCAACATAAAAACAATATTCAGATTTGGCTGCTGTCAATTTAAAAACAAAAGTATCGACATCCCGCCATTTGTTATTTATACTTTGTCAAAAGTGTTTGTCCAATTTTATTTATTTTATTTCGAGTTTATGTGAAACCCATTCAAAAATGTTTAATAGAATAATACGCTTTTTAAACAAATCCGTAAGTAAAGAAATATGTCTATTATTACTGCATGTAATTTAATGATTAATATTTATTTTATTATTATTTTAATTCCAGAACAACTTGCAAAAACTATGCACTAGAAATTTTAACATGGTGCCCATTGTGGTAGAGCAAACTGGCCGAGGAGAGCGAGCTTATGATATATTTTCTAGACTCCTAAAAGAAAGAATAATTTGTGTAATGGGGCCAGTTCATGACGATATGAGTTCTTTAGTAGTAGCGCAATTACTTTTCCTTCAGGTCTATAATTAATCAAGCATGTTCTATAAGTCTTAAAAACAAGGCAAAATAAAGTTTGGTCTTTTAGTCAGAAAGCAGTACAAAACCTATTCATATGTACATTAATTCACCTGGAGGATCAGTGACTGCTGGTTTAGGAATATATGATACGATGCAATATGTTAAGCCGCCAATCGCCACTTGGTAAGTTTTATTACTAACAATATTTTGTTTTTTTTTTTTAAACTAGACTTACTAAAACAAGTTTCATATAAAAGCTTTCTCGATAAAATCCATGAATTAGTAATTATGCAAGGGCTGCATACTAAACAAGAGAATTTAATAATGAAATACAAAATATTTCACCTCTATTCAGGTGTGTAGGACAAGCCTGTTCAATGGGTTCCCTCCTGTTAGCCGCTGGTGCACCAGGTATGAGACATGCTCTCCCACATTCTCGAATCATGATACACCAACCATCCGGTGGTGCTACTGTAAGTTTAGACGTTATAAATAAATCCGCATATTATATTTTGCCCCAAAAATATCTAATTCATTTATTAAGGGCCAAGCTACAGATATTCAAATCCATGCTGAAGAGATAATAAAATTAAAGAAACAATTGACATTAATATATGCAAAGCATACTGGACAAAATACTGAGCTTTTGCATAGTAAAATGGAACGTGATACATTTTTATCTCCGGATGAAGCGAAAGCAATGGGTTTAATAGATCAAGTTTTAGTGCATGCACCTTCCACGATTACAAAGGGAAGTGCACCAAGTACAGACGCTCCAAATCCTATTATTATGCCTAAAGATAAAGAACCTTCTATTGGAACAGAAATTACTACATAATTAGGAACCTAATGATATTAAAATAATTTGTATATACATTTTTATATAAAATTATTTATATTGCAAATAGTTTATAAAATATATTTTATGCAAATTATGGAAACCGCATTCAGGATATTTGAATTGACTAACTGAGTAAAGTACTATTTTTATAGTTTTTGTATATCATTATTAAATTTTATTGTCTAATATGCAGCTCTTACATAATTACAGATACATGAATTGAACATACAATATAAACACTTAACTAATTTCTCTAAATTGCAATTACATAATATAATGGAAGAAGCTTTGATATGGAACTTTAGAAAAAATATTTTGATGAACACTTTGCAGTTGTTTAATCGATTAAACCTGGGGAAAAGAATTTTATACACACTTTTGAAATTTTTTAATGGGTAATTGAACTTTCAGAATAGATTTTTTAACTTGAAATTAACATTCAATGAGAGCAACGATAGACGGTCTCGAAAAAATAATATTAAAACACATTGTAATAACAAATTTATATTATTTTCTAAATACGCGCCAACTATCGAATGCTGCCATATAACTGAATCTCAAATAGACTTAAAATTAGTTTTTTTTGTGACTTTTTATTATGTAACTAGGTTGGAATTATGAAATTTGGAAAACATTTGCTGGTCGACACTCCGAAAAAATACGTGTTAGTGAAATGTAGCTGAGCCGACGTCGCATGTGAGTAATTTTTTTGTTATATAATCTTTATTTCATGTTATTTGGATTTATCAGTTCTAATTGTTATTTTATATATGATGTTGATTACAAATATTTGGGCTAGTTTAACGCGTGATAGATGTAATACGTTCCTATTATAATATTAGAATAATACTTCTAGAGCGGATTGCCACAATAAGTGTACAAATACAATATTTTTCCATTATAGTTTCTTTTCTTTTTGAAATTTTCCATCATTGATCGAGGCTACTAAACGTTGCGCCACATTTATCGAGGAAATCGTACGGTTCTTTTTGAGAAAAAACAAAATAAATTTTATATGTGACTTATATGCGCTTATGTCGTGTTGTTTAATAACGACATAAAGTAATTATTCCTCTTTTTGTCACAAATTATATGCAATATAATTATAATTTTTACGACCAATTATGTTAAATTGATCTGAGTAACACTGGGATACTATTTCGGGCCAGTGATGGCAAAGTGTAAGGAAAATATTCTTTAATTCCAATTTAATGACCATTTGTAGTTTTAACTACATATATTTCAATACTTCTAGTATAATTTCAAGCATTTAAATTGCTTTATTACAATTTATTTCAAGATTTTTATCAGGTTGCGCACAAGAGAAATTAATGCCTTTGTAAGAAAATTCGACTTGCTAATTTTATGTTTCAAGTGATCTTGAATCATTTGAGATACGTATTTGGAAAAAATATTAGCGAGTGTGTATGTGAGCCTATTTTTGACTTTTTGTTGACGTTTTCTCCAAAATTTTTGAACCGATTTAAAAAAATTAAAAGTCATTCGATGGCTGAAATGAACGCTGAAATAATTCGTTTCGTCCCCGGCCGTGCATTTGGCCATCTATTACCTCACCGGCGACATAGTTGCCGAAGAAGTCGACAACGAGTAACCAGAAAAAACAAAACAAAATAGCCCCTCCGAAAGAAATCCGACCATTATATAATACTTTTTGCATCATAAAATGTGGCCCGGAACAAAAAAGTAACAGGCGTAATAACCAATAAATCTTTATTAATAATAATAAAAATATAATAATAATAAATAATAAAAAGCGTACACGTATAGTACCGTTAGAGAATTCCTTCCTAAGTGTCTTCTCTTATGCCTACCATATTATAATGCCCTTAGGTCTTTCGAATCAAGGATATTTTGCTTTTGATTCGATGTTGATCAATACACTTGCCGGATCGATTTGGGACAGTAGACCCGCTTGCTATTTTTGGGATCATCTTAAAAAATGCAAATCAATTGAAAATGCATACTTGTAAAGATAAATAAATTCCTAGACCAATCCATGAGAATCTCATTGTTGCTATCTTTCGATCATTTCACAGGCCATTTTTATCTTATTAACCATACAACGGCTAGTTTTATGTTTTCGCCAGATTTGCTAATTTCATGTTTTCTTGATCATTCTGGCCATTCTGGATCATTTGAAATCAAAATAGGCAAAAGTGTGAGTGTGCGTAAATGAACCAAAATTTCAGGTTTTGTCGACGTTT